AGCTCATGTTATCTTACGGTAAAATAGACACATTTCTACTTTTACAGAGCTTTTCATGGAGTTATCTTGTGAATGCCTTAGTTTCCAGCATATAGTTGTTTGTGTGGTCTTGAGGAGAACGTTTCTCGGTCTCCTTATGGCAAGGGAAGACAAGTTTATTATCATTCACTGGGGTTATTTAATGTGCTTCATATAAAAACAAGATTTTAAAAAGTTAAACCAAGACAAAAAAGCAAAATAGAAATGAAAAAAAAAAACTTTTAAAAATTGCTTAGAAAATCTAAAAAATCTGATTAAAAGTGCAGTAAATGTACAGCTAACAATCAGACACAGTTAGAGGTTTTATATTATAACCCCTCCAACCTCATGGTTTCTGTTCCTCACACAACCTTAAAATATCAGAAGCATATTTAAATTAATGTTTAAAGTGATGTAAAAATATTTATTAAGCTTACTATTAAAACAAATATGTATTGTTTCTTTGTGCTTTTACAGATGCACCCCTTCATAACTCATGAGGACTTTGTGCTTCAGCAGTGCACAACCTGTTGCACTTTTTATCACTGCCCACTATGCCCTGCAGCCTATGAGGTTGGGAAAAATTCAGCAACATTTAGATGGGCATTTTAAAAATGCAATAATTTTTTAAGGTAATGTAAGGTGGAGTATTACAATATTACTAGGGTGACTGGATAATTTTTGTGCAAGAAGGCACTGAACTCTTTCATGTTAAAGCGCAAGAAAAACTGAGAAGTTTAGCCTGACATGCGAAAAAAATATTTTTTAAGATAAAAAAAGTGTCCCCCATGACAGAGTCTGTTTTCAGTCTACCTTTAAGGCATCGTACAGACATGAAAAAATTACTTTAAGTGCTTCTAAAGTTACTGGACACTGTGATATAGCCCACATAATAGCCACAATAGCCCCATTGTTTAACTACTGGATGCTTTGTTTCAATATTGCAATTCTGACTTGTTACCTTTTTACTGGTTCTTATTTCTAGCACATAATCAAATAAACATTTGATTCCTAATGTCGTGTCCAGTGTTCTTTGTTTTTTTCCATCCATCTTTTATTAAGTATATATATATATA